AGTGAAAATCTTGATTAAGAATGGAAGGATTTTTAGAAAAAAATGGGTATGAGTCTAATCATGCAAGTGGCTATTTTATTAAAATCACATTTGATATTTCTGAAAATGCTACTCCAGAAATGACTGAAATGCAAAGGTGACAGTTTTTTAATTTGCCGCTTCAAAATTCCGAAGATGCATATTCGAAAAATCCACTAGAATGCGCAATAAACAATAAATTGAATTGATATATTCGAAGATGCATCTCCGAAAAAAAATTATTTTAAAATGGAATGACACCCATTTGGTACATTATTCAGTGATGCAAATAATACATCCAGAGATATATCTCCAAAATCTAAAAGGTATTTTTGAAATTTTATAAGTATTTTTCCACATCATACGGCGGACTTAGAATTTCTCAAACATTAATGTTTTTTTTGTTTATCAAAGAATCTATTAATATCAAAGAGCATTTCTTATTGCACCCCATGTATTTCTTAGACACCGTGCGAATTTCCTATAATGTTCTTAGTTTCCCGAGATATATCTCCGAACGCACCATTCTTACACTCAAGAAAGATTCTGAATGGCCCCCCATACATTTGCTAAAGAATTATTTCATAGATATATCTCCGAAACGATTTGGAGAAAATATGAATACCTTACGAATCCATTATCTCCTACCTTACGGAGACACACGAAGGATTGTCAAACTTGAGTATCGTTCACCATCGGTTGACAATAAAGGAAACATTGTGTTCAGTAAATTTGAGCTTAAGACCCGAGCATATGTTATGGCGATGTGGCGAACGTTTTTCGATTTCGGAAAGAAAATTCTGCTCGAGATGAAAGCGACACTACGGCGATCGGTCGAAGATATCTTGAAGATATGCAAGCATCCACTGAGACATTGAAATGTAGTATTTAATTTTCGGTTGAAATCATCATTATAATACTCATTTTATGTTATGAATGCTCATTTTATGTTTGAAATTTATTTTGTGTTAATTTTGTCTCAAGTTTTATTTCAAAAATATAACTACGGTATTATTTTTGAAATATATCTGCGGAACTAATCAAACTCAAATGCATATGGCGCCATTCAGAATGATCTTCTTTAAATGTAAAAAAAGTACGTCCGAAGATATATCTCTGAAAACTAAAGGCATTATAAAAAATTTACCGTCCAAAATAGTCATGGGGGTATAATAAAAAACTCTCATATCAAATAGTTTAGATTAAGGATCTACTTTAATGGACGAACTATAATAGGCGAGCCCATTACAAATTAAGTCTAATGCATTTCAACTTGATCGTAACAGATAATAAACCAGTATGAAAATTAATTGCTTTTTACCAGTACAGTCTTGCTAAAAAATTAAAAAACTCTAAACTCACTTTTATTTGTTTTCTTGAACTAGCTTGCTCTTTGATACCGTAATCTAAACTTTTCAAACAAACCTAAATTCTATTTCTTTCATTTTCATATTTTGCTTACGAGTTAATTTTTGAAAGATTTTGAATATGAGAATTTTAAAAGATTCTGTCTATATTTTAATGTTTGATATTTTTTTTAAAAACTATAATATCATATGCTAATACATCATATTATTTTCTATAAATTTAATATATATCAAAATATAAATGCAATTTTTTAAAATTCTCAAAAAATCATCTTCAAAAATGATTTCGCAAAGAGATCTTTTAAAGTTTAGACTTGTTAGATATGCTCATTAAAGGTATATAGGCCTAGAAGTGATAAGCAGAATGGCTACATCTATAGTTAAAACTTCATTGCTAGCTATAGTACTATATAGTAACCTATATATATCTAAGGCAATCTGGCTTTTATAAATCCATACTATTTTCCATTATCCATCTTTGGCTATTCATCAAAGATATGAATCACCATACTGTAGTTATTTCCGTCCTTGGAAACACACGCCATCATTGAATTTCTAAAGCCCATCTTTGTATGAACCTCATCGAGCAAGAGTGATGATGATGATAAAAAGCTACTACTAGTACTATTGTACAAAAAGCCATTGCTCAAGTAATAATTTTCCAACCTTTGCACACCTCGTGCATTGTTTTTAAGTCATGGGACGAGACAACCCTAACACTTTTTCATATTACCTCAACAAAGTTTTTGCTACTAGTTTTTTATTCTAAATATATGAACAAAATAAAAGCAAAACCCTAATACGGTAATACCATTTTGTCTAGATGAATAAACCCTGTCAAACAAATAGAAGTCATCAAAGAAATTGAACATATAAAAAAATAGTAAGGGAAAAATAATTCACCATGGAATAAAATATGTATAGTTACAAAAGAATAGTCCATATAAAATAAACAAAAACAATATCCCAAGCTTCTTTATAAGCTACAAAGGCAATAATACTATAGTCATTTAACCACCAATTTCATATAAAATCAAACCTATAGCTGCAAAAGCAATATATAGACACATAAAATAAATCCATATTAATTAATAATATATATGAATAATCTATATCTATAGTATATTATTATTACCGAGTTGTTCTTTGATTAAATCTTTCTCCTCATTTTTCATCTGAATAATATCCTGAAGCAACCCATTGTCTCTTAACAAAGCTTCGTGGGAAGTTCCAAAACCTCTTTGAATAATCGCTTGGTCGTGAACAAAACCACCAAACGACGACGTGTTAACATAGCCACCACTAGAACCAAGTGATGGGGGTGTAGTAGTAGAATTGATAGTGGGATTAGTATTATCGTACAACAATGATGAAGCGTGTGGTAGAACAAAGTGTGAGTGTGAGTGTGAACCTGAACTACAACCACCAAATGCACCGGCACCGAAGCTAGTAGGTTCGTTAACGAAGCTGAGGCTAGGACGTGACGTGGCTGGTGAAGGATGTGTGTGTTGACCCTCGTATGTAGTGACGACAATGGAAGAATCATCGGATGAACGCTCCACGCGCTTTTTCACGCCGCAGGCTGCCGTGGTACAACGATAGTAGCTCCTGTTTTTGTTTCAACGCGGACACATTTGCGTGTCCCGCAAGTCAAAATTAAATAAAAATTATTAATAAATTTAAATATCATTAGCATGACCCTAACATCAATTGATAGTCAGTTGATAGCCGAACAGAGATATCAGAATTCAGTTGATAGCTGAGCAGAGACATCAGATATCAGATCAAACTTTTTGGACACTAAACTGAAAATAGTGAAATGAAAAATGGCTTTACCTAGGATAAGGACTGTTTTTAACAGCTTTTTGACCGTATTTACGCCACCTATAGCCATCGTCTAGGTTATCAACTTCACTCTTTGTCATGAAAGCAAATCTGGGTTCTCTTTCCTTCTTTTGATTCTTCTTTTTGCTTTTAGACTTCATTTTATGTTAAAATGAGAAGAAAAAAACAGAGACAGGTGATGAGAATAGAAAGGATAAGAGAAGAAGTTTATTATTGATTTATTTGATAATAATTAAGAACACTCACTGTTTCTTTGTCTTGTCTTGATTTTGGTCATTTCTTTGACTCCATTTCCATCTTCTTCTACCTCTGCATCAGCATCATGTTCGTTTGTTGAAACTTTAGTTCTTTGTTGTATGGTGTTGTTGTTAAAGGTGGCTTCGTTAGATGAGGAAGAAATTGAAGTTGAGTTTGGTGATGTCGGTGTGTTCAGCACCTCGGAGGAGTCCAGGACGTTGGAACTCGCCGGCGACGGGAGAGTCTGGATGACTGTGGTGGTTGTTGGAAGAGCCCAATCGGATAACAAAAAAGTGTTGTTGTTTGTGTCGTAATCGTGGGAACCTAACAAGTCCATGAATCCAAAAGAGGAAACTTTTTGGTCACACGAGGAAGATGGCAACGTGTCAAAGATGGTGGAGATTGAAGGTTGAAAAGGGAATAAAGATGTGTTATTGTTGATGGTGGTGGTGGTGCTCGGAATCTCGTCGGAAAATGCCATGGTGGTGGTGGAGGATGAGTTGGTGGGGTTTGTGTATGCCTCTCTCTTCTCCTCCTCCATTGATTTTTATGCTGCTATGTATTGATACAAAGCATGGCACATATTCCTCTTTTTATTTTTAATTTTATTGTGAAAGGTTACTTTTTTTTTCTCTAAAAGGAAATGTGCTCATTAATTTTTCAACTTATTATTTCGAAAGCAGAAATGATATGATGACACCATTTTTAACATATACACCGTATATTAATACTATCCAATATACTCCTTTTATTTTTAATTATTTTTTGGTGCATCTGAATTTGTGCCACACTTGCAATGTTTACACTTGGCTACGGTGTAACATGATACGGTGTATCATTTTAGTGTAAACATAGCACATCTCTTTCGAAAGATATAGAAAGAGAAGATGGAAAGGGAGAGAGAAAAGAATGAAAGGGATGGTTTGGGGATTGGGGTGTGCTGCTATTAATGGATTCAAATTTTTAGATTATTTTTATTTTTTAGGACTATTTTTTAGATTTCTTAACAATGTCAGTAGTAGTACTTGAAAAAAATATATTTTTTTAATTTAAAGAATTCATACCTATTCAAACTTCTTTGATTTGTAATAGAGTGAATATCTAACATAATAGTAATAAACAAATTTGTAATGCTATGCCAAGAATTTCAAAAGATTAAATGAAATGCGGTAATTTTAAACGTCTCTATTATTAAAGAATTTTAAACACATATATTTATAAATTATAGAATTAAATGATTTTAAATGAAATTTCGTAACTTTGAACTTGTGTCTCTATTATCTCAAACTATTGAGAAAATCAATGTCAATAACGAGTAAAACCAGTGTTTTAAAAACCAGACCGGTCATTGAACTGATGTGGGTATTGGATCACTGGTTTATCGGTCGAACCACTGGGTCACTGGTCGAATCGCATGACTAAACCGAATTAAATCGGATAACTCGGTTGAATAGACCTGTCATTATATAGATATAAAACTGGTCGAACCGGATGATTCAGTTTCTAAAAAATTATAACTAGTATTTAAATTTTTTGAAAATATCATATCATAAATTCACAAGTTCATAATTTAAATTCAAATTTTAAACAAATGCATCACACATAACAAAATAATACAAAATTACAAAATAATTGCAACATAATCTAATTTTAAACAAATATATCATCACACACAACAAAATAATACAAAATTACAAAATAATTGCAACATAATCTAATTTCAAATATTTTTTTTTTTTTAATTTTTATAACTTTTGCATTTAAATTTTAATTAAAAAATAAAAAATGCATTAGAATCGGTCCAACCCTAAACCCGGTTTTTCCCGGCCCAGCCCAGTTTTTTCCAGTTTTTACCAGTTTGATGACACAGACGATCGAACTAGTAAACCAAACCGGTTACTAGGCCGGTTCCCGGTCCGACCGACCGGTCTGGTCCGGTTTTTAAAACACTGAGTAAAACTATGAGAAAGTGAAAGTTTCTTTATCAACCAAAAAATCGTTCAAATCACGAAAAGAAAGAAGAAGGAAGAAGAATAGAAAAACAAAATTGGTTAGGATGTTATTTTTTATTCATTGTCTAAATAAGCGTTAAATGATTACAAGTGAATAACATTCAACCTCTCTCCTGACAAATGAGAGAACAACCTATTTATAGACTACTAGCATATGTATCTTATGTATGAGGATAACATGTATATTTTCTATTCATTGTCTCAATGAGCGTTAAATGATTACAAGTGAATAACATTCAACCTCTCTCCTAACAAATGAGAGAACAGCCTATTTATAGACTACTAGCATATGTATCTTATGTATGAGGATAACATGTATACATGACATACATAGCTACTACATAACATAATACATAAGTTATCTTCGACTATTGCATGCTTGAACAAACTTCGACTACAACACGCACATTTGACACCGTCGAATCCTGAAATGACCCTTGTCGAAATTGGAGTTCGATTCAATACTACAAATCTCCACCTTGCAACAAACTCCAAAACATCAAAGGAACAAACTAGTTATCATCATGTAGTTTTATCAAGTGCATATAATGGAAGAACTTGTTGTTTGCTAATGTCTTGATGATCATATTAGCAACATTGTGATCAATCGAAACCTTCATCACTTTGACTTCTCCTTTTCTGATTTTCTACCTAATGAAATGCAACCTAACATCAATGTGTTTGGTTCTCTCATGATAGGCTTAATTCTTCGATAGATATATGACACTTTTAGTATCACATTTAATAGTGATTGCTCGACCTTGAAGTTTCAGCTATTTAGCAAATCCTTCAAGCTACAATGTTTCTTTTATAGTTTCAGTGAGGGCAATATATTGAGCTTTAGTCGTTGATAAAAAGCTACAGTCTTTTAAAGTGTGGCTTTTCAACTAATTGTTGTACCAAACATAGTGAAAACATATCCAGAAAGAGATTTTATAGTATCCATACATCTTGAATAGTCAGAGTCAATAAATCTTTTGACTTCTACTTCGTTATCATCGTCTTTAGCTCCATCGTAAACCAAGACTCTGCACATAGATCCTTTTATGTATCTTAGGATCCATTTCAAGACTTGCCAATGTGCCTTTTCAAAGTTGGTCATCTACCTGCTTACAAGGCCAACTGCATACACTATATTTGGCTTGGTGCAGACCATAACATACATCAAAGAATCCACTATACTAGCATATGGAATGCTATCCATATAAGCCCCTTCAAATTCAGCACTAGGAATTTGAGTTATACTTAACTTGAATTGTTAAGATGTTGGCGTTATAACAGGTTTTGAGTTCTACATACAAAACATTTCGAGAATATTCCTTAGACATGACTCTTGAGATAAATATATTTTTGACTGATTTTTATCTCTCTTGATGTCGATACCTAAAATCCTGGTTGCAGCTACAAGGTCCTTCATTTTGAATTCCTAGTTAAGTTTAGCCTTCACTCTCATTACTTCTTCGACGAGGTTTCTTGCTATGAGGATGTCGTCCACATAGAGCAATAGGATGACAAATGAATTTTCAAGTGAGAACCTGAAATAAACACAATGATCAAAGTTGCTCTTTGTAAAACCTATGCGTTCCATGAACTTGTTGAATCTCATATTCCATTGCCTAGGAGATTGTTTCATGTCATATAATGACTTATTTAGCTTGCACATATAATCCTTCTTACCTTTTTCATCATACTCTTCAAGTTGCTTCATCAGAATTGTGTTTCATCTAGATCATCATATAGAATAGTAGTCTTCACATCTATTTGCTCCAATTCTAGGTCGAACCTAGCCACCACGACAAGAAGCATTCTAATGGATATATGCTTCATAACAGGAGAGAGTACATCATTAAAATCCACCCAATACCTCTAAGTGAAGCTCCTTGCAACAAGTCTTGTCTTGAATCTCTTTGACATAACTCCTTCAATTCATTCCTTTAGGTTGAAAATCCATTCACAGCTAACTAATCTGACCCTGTAGGTTTTTCTATAAGCTTCCAAATGTTCTTATCATAAAGAGATTTCATTTTATCATTCATTCCTTCTTATTTTGACTCCTCATAGATTCTTATTAATCTCTAGGTTCTTCATCGAGAACCTCACTTGTTGAAATAAAGGAAAAATTTGTGAGATCTACATAACCCAACCTCTTAGGTGGCTTGATGACTCTTCTCGACATGTCTCTTGTCAGCAGATAGTCATCAATAGTTTCCTCATTTTCTTCATAATCATGTGCTTCTTCAGCAACTTCATCTAGATTTTCACCATAATTGTGCACTCTTCTCGACATGTCTCTTGCTCTTCTTCAGAGATATTTGTATTTTGACCAGCGTCATCCGTTTACTTGAAAATCATCCATGCTTCATTTAAAACCACATCACGACTTGTGATATACCACCAGCGACCTGGTTCTAGGCACCACGACCTATAGGCTTTTACTCCCTCGGGATACCCAAGGAACATGCATCTCAGAGCTCTAGGTTTGACTTTTTCTTGCCTAATATGACCATAGGTTACACTACCAAATACTCTAAGATTGTCGAGATCTGGTGGATGACCCAGTCAAACTTCTTCAGGTGTCTTTATCTCTAAGGCACTCGAGGGACATATATTTATCATATATGTTGTTGTTACTACAACCTTAGCCCAAAACACCTTCTTCAATCCAGCACTGATAAAACTTGTATCTAACCATTTCCATGATTGTACGATTGAACCTCTCTTCCAGACCATTTTGCTGAGGAGTACCTGTTGCAGTCTTATTCCTAACAATACCAGACATAACACAATGACTGTTGAAGGCTTCATTGTAGAGCTCAAGGCAATTGTCGGTCCTCAATCTCTTAACCTTCATGCCAGTTTGATTCTCGACCAGAGTCTTCCAATTTTTGAAA